CTGTGTCGCTAGATATCTCAAAAGTGCTTTACAGGGTTTGGCATGTTGCTCTTCTACGCAAGCTTCGGGGCTACGGTATTACAGGACGATTATTTGATTTAATCCAATCATTCCTATCAACACTATTTATATTATTCGGACTATTGTCCTCATCTTTGTCGCTATATCTATTACAACGTTTCGGCCGTTGTACGCTCCGGCCTTCTTCATTTGGTTGGAATGTCGAACTGAACCTTTTATTTCGCTCACTGGGGTAGACTGTTCTAGTTCCACGTGCCATGATTAATGGATGTCAGTTATGTCAGTTATCAGTTATCTCCTGTTAATTTCCCCCTGAATGTTCTCCACTGCTTTTACCTGGGTATTGAACTCACACTCTCAAGGACACATGGCACAGTGGATAAAGGCGTTAGTTAGATCCAGTGACAGGATCCAAAGAGTGTGAGTTCAATACCCAGTTAAGACAGTGGAAAACTTGGAGAGGGGAATTAACAGGAGATAACTGATAACTGACATCCATTAAACATGGCACGTGAAACTAGAACAATCTACCCCAGTGAGCGAAATAAAGGATTCAGTTCGACATTCCAACCACCTGAAGAAGGCCGGAGCGTACAACGGCCGATATAGTTCCTATCAACTCCTATGGATAATTTGCCCTTCCCTCCCGGAAACAAGCATGATGTCACAAAATAAAAAGAAGAATACTAAATCAGATATTAATAGTGGGGACGAAATCTGATATTAAGTGTTAAGTTCCTGATTCTATACTTTTTATATGACCCTCTCCAAAAATGACGCACAAATACCCTTCCATAATGATGCCGTGGCCCCTACTATGAGTTATTATTATTGTTTTTTTAAAAGAAATTATGACCTTTATCACTATGCAATATTCATAAGTATTTCATCCATTGGATATAAGTGGCCAGACAACTATAGTAGCATCGTCCTCGATTTTCAGTCATTTTCCTGTTACCATAGTAGGATTTGACAACACAAAATTCAACCACACTCTTGTCTGATGATCAGAGTTGCATACAGTGGCTGTGCAAACATTTTGTTTGACAAATTAAGTCACTTATATACAAAGTGTTAAAGTCTAATACAATATTCACTCGCTAAAATGAATAGTTTTTACAATCCAAGATATGTTTCGGCTTTAAATAACCAATAAAGTGTTGATAAATCGTAAAAAAAAAAATAAAATAAAAACAAATCAATCTCCCAAAATGAACTTTTTTTATATCTGTTATCCTAGATTTTTTAAAATTTTGTTTTGAGTTTAAAATAAATACATTATTTTTTTCTTTTCGCTTGTAGTTATTTTCTCAAATGAGACCTATAAACATTTTCCCGATTATCCGAATTGTATAAAAGGTTTAGAAGCTAATGTTTCGGGTAAAAAAGAAATGGAAAATTAAGTTTTCTAATTTATTTTGAAAATTAATGTCAATGATTTTAGAAAAATGATACAGTTCATATCAACAAAATTGTCATAGATTGAAGCCAAGAAGACACATTTCATCTTTGGTTTCGTTCTTCAGTTTCAACAAAAACTGTAAGGTTCCCCGCTAGCGTGGGTTACCAGCGTCATGCGTATTTTTTTAACCCTTGACTGTTTCAATAATCGGGGTACCTGAGAGTAGAAGAAGCAAACTGATTCTTCTTCCTCGTGAGCTGAAACAGTGAGATTTCAGATAACTTGGCGGCGCCTATCTCCTCTCCAAGCTCTTGACCGATAGCCGAAGACCACTGAATATGATTTGGGTCACACTCGGCCCGTACACTAGGTCTTTAAGCTTTGAATTCAGAGTTAACTTTCTACTGCGATTGCTACCCAAGGCAACCCAAGAGCCACAACTATCCTGCTATTTAATCCATAGCTGGAAGAAGAAGAGATGGATTCATACCTTTACCAAGGATATTAACCCGTAAGTGAAAGCAATGAACTCGACGGGAATTCGAACTCAGCTCTCTATTTCTTGTCTGTCGTAATACTTAACCCATAGCTGGGGGTAGAAGAGATGGATTCATTCCTTTCCCAAGAGTATTAGCACATAAGTGAATGCAATGAACTCGACTGGAATTCGAACTCAGCTCTCTATTTCTTGTCTGTTATGACAATTAACCCATAGCTGGGGGTAGAAGAGATAGATTCATAGCTTTCCCAAGAGTATTAACACATAAGTGAATGCAATGAACTCAACTGGAATTCGAACTCGGCTCTCCGATTCCTCAATCCGAGCCACCGTGCTTAATATACTAGTTTATATTTACCCTCAATAAATTATAATGGTGTAGTATAAAATCCCGACTTTTATGTTTCCGTCAAAAAAGATTATCAGTATTCGCTGATGTTCGTGTGACAGGATGGTCAGTTCAAATATATTCTTTTGCTCCCTGCCATTCCCACGAAGGTCGCAGCAGACTCGCATACATTTAAGAGACTGCAAGATAAGTTTAGACGAAACAAATTAAGTTTATTTTTCATTTGTTTGTTGTTTTTCTCTTTCTTTTTAATTCATATTCAAAATGGCATTAATTATTTGGCTAATATTGTTCTTAAGTGATTATGACACGTGTCGCTGTGCGCCGGTGGATGGCGAAGGCATAAAAAGGAAGGGCGATTTCAGTCTAATTCAACTTATTCCACATTACCGCCGTTGGTTAAAGGCAAAGAACACCAACAGCTTTGTGTCGTCAATACTTGTGACAAAAAACAAACAAAAAAAAAACTCTTTCTAAAAAGGCATGCTTAATTAGTGGATTACCTCCGAGTACAATTTTTTTAAAACTAAATTTAACTACAATTACAACAACAAATAGTGTTTTTTTTGGTCTCCTAATTGCAGGATTTCCACCACCCTATCAAGTTTTCTATGTGCGCGTTTAAATGTCTCTCTCTCCTTTCTGTGTCACTTTCCTATTACTTTAAAATAATTAAATAAAAATATTACTTTTATTGTTATTATGTTTCGCCTTTTTAAAATATACATGATTTCTCTCTCTCTCTCTCTCTCTCTCTCGAATTTCACTGTTTCTTTAAAATTTTATATATCCCCTCTGCCACTTTTTAATTTTCTATTAACTTTTTTTTGTTTTAGTTTTTATTTGAACAATATTATGTACCCTTTTCTCCTCGTGTTTTCCCGGTCCACAGATTATAAAGAGGTGGCGTAGGAGGTTCTTCCAAAAACAATAGCCGAATGTCAACTAGAAAAAAAAAAGCCAGGTTTTCGAGGATTTTCCGAGACTGGCATGCTATGCTCTTTCACACAGTTATTCGGCCCTTAAAAAGAAAAAAAATCAAAATAAAATAACTCTTTCCCCCCTCTTTAACAGTATTATTCTCTAATATACAAAATAAAAAATGATTAATTTATTACATATCTATTTTAATTTCGTTATTTTTGTTTTATCATCTACTCTTCTCTATCCATTTAATTTTTACACACACACACACACACACACACACACACACACACACACACACACACATACACACGCACACACACACACGCACACACACATACACACGCACACACGCGTGCGCACAAGCCAATCCTATCTCTCATCTTTTTTCATCTTGAGTTTGATTTAGTCTGGTACAAGATTATATAAGCAAAACAAAAAACATCTAGTGAGGATGAAACTCTTTGTACTACTGTTGAAATAAATGGCCTATGAGGCAAGGTTGCTAACACTCAAGCAGCGGCAAGTACCTAAATTAATAATGTGATCAGAATCACTCGAAAATAGTATTCGGTGCTTAGTAAGGATCGAACATCATTAGCGAGTGATCTGCAGAAACAACTTGCGTCACTCTACAGAACGAGCAACTCACCCTTTCTCTCCGATTCTCCCTTATTTAACAGAGACATCATTTCTATCGTAAATTCTCTTTTCGCAGAATTAAATATAAAAATCATATTTTCTTTTTTTTTTTTCTCACACACTCACTCTATTCTCTCTCTTAATCTGCGTAGTATTTGAAGAATAGCCAATAATTTAACATATCGACCATACACCTGGCTGATTTTCATCGTTAAAACCCGCAAATTATTACCGTTTTTGCTTCTTGTTCCTGTATGTCACGAGCGAAATTTTCGATTTGACACGTGTGGGACTCAAAGAACGCACACACCAACAAATGAAAAGATAGTCATATGATCTCTCGACTATGTTCGTTCATTTGACAACATTATGAAGCACTACATTGTATCTGTGTGCGTGCTTGTAAATTCAGAGTAGATACGGATTTGTTTACAGTGTGTACTTTTAGGCAGTTTCTCTTACTGAAATTGCATTTTTAATTTAAATTAATTTTTGTGGATTCGTTTTTCTAAAAATAAATTCTGTAATCCTAAACTGGTTGATATAAGCTTCAAATTAAAACCAGGTCCTTGATGCAGGTACATTTACGATACCACACCATGCAGCATTTACAAATTCTATCACATAGTTTGTATATACAGTCTGGTCATATTCATCTATCTCGGTCGGTTTTATACCCTATCTTCGTCTGTTCAAATTTATATTAGTTGTGTCATATCTATCTATCTATCTATCTATTTCTCTCTCTCTCTCTCTCTCTCTCTATCTATATATATATATATATATATATATATATATATATATATATATATATATATATATATATATATATATATAAGGGAAGAGGTTATAGTTGTTCCAACGAGAGAAAAGTGTATATATTAAAAGAAGAGAGAAACTACATTACACCCAAAAACGTTTGCGGTTTCTCTCTTCTTCTTATATATATATATATATATATATATATATATATATATATATATATATATTCTGTGTAAAACGTTTCGTTTTCTAGCCGGACTTCATCAGACTGAAGTCATGTTTTTATTGATGGAGTTATATAAAATAATTTTTTCGTTAGTTCAAATCCTTCTTGGATCAAACGCGACGCATAGAATTTCTCCACTTTTTCATTCATTGCTTAACGTTGTTCTAATATATCTATGTATAAATTTCTATATCATATTCTATCTATCTATCTATCTATCTATCTATCTATCTATGTCTTTCTCATTCTTGCATTATTTTACTTCATTAAAAAACTAAATCGAAGAGAAAATCGAATTTTGTAATACATTATTAAATTTTATGAACCCTTAGTGTTGAAAATGGGACAAAATTGAAGAGTTCAATTTACTGTCTTGTATTTTTCACCTTTTTTTTTTACATTACAAAACAAAAACTTATTTTTCCCAAAAGTTGGGTTGTTTGTCTATTGAGACGTTAAAAAGTGTTGTAACATTTAGCATTGAATCGTCTATCCTCCCACACGTTGTTCGTCTTGGCATTAATACTTCCAGCCCAAAATAAAACTCTTTTTAAGATAAATTACTGATTCGAACACAAGTTATGATAGAATCGATTGGACATTATTGTGGGTGGAATCGATGAAGAAGAGAGAGAAAGACCACACCCAGTAAATAAACAATAGAAATCAATTTTTTTAAAAAGTAAAGTAAAAATGGCGTAGAAGACGGGAAAGAGATGTTACATCTTTGTTTTATTTGTCAATAATGTGCGGATGACGTAACGGTTATTGACGCGGAAAATGGAATCAGCAGGCCGAGATCAAATTCCGACTGACACTGTTGCGTTCACTTTTCACACTGAGGTAATAGGCCTGAATTCATTTATTCTCCACATAGCTAAAAGAAAATGAAAAGGCAAATTAGGATCTACAGAGGAAAAAACAAAATTTAATCCCTCACTCCCGGTAACACCATATCAATGTTGCTGGATAAGGCCTATACGTCCCATGTCTGGTGGACAATGGGGAAGGCCGGAGTCTAATAAGAAAATGTCTGATAATAAATACGCTGTTTTCAATATGTGGAAATAGGTGTTTTTTATTTATTTATTTTTTTTTTTAAAATAAATTTTCGTCTTTTCACCTTTCTCTTTGGTTTTAGTTTATTAAAAATGTAAAAAAAAAATATATATATTAAGAGCCGAGAATAAATTAAAGAAAATAAAGGTGCCATTTTACGAGAATACGACAAGGATTTTTGTTTCGTTAAAAGAAAACGCAGGTTAATTGTGATCAATTTTGTTCAATCGATAACGACAACTGTTTCTCATTTTCATTCTTCATCAAATCAACTTATATAGGTTATTGAAAATGAAAAGAATCGATTATACTTTACTTTGTAAATTTGAAACCCGCCAAAATAGTGTAGTAAAACAGTTTAACTTTCTTTCTTCTCTCGAATATTGTCAACCCAAAACATGACGAATAAAATACCAACAATGTGATAACTTTTTTTTTTTGGTTAATATGAAGAAGTAATTACAAACTATGCATTTCTGTTGCTTAAAATCCAACTTTTAAGAACTAGTCTTCATACACATTCTGTTGATGTGGTGGTGGTGGTGGTGGTGGTTCTTCTTCTTCTTCTTCTTCATCTTCTTCTTCATCTTCTTCACCTTCTTCTTCTTCTTCTTCTTGCCATTTCCCTTCGTGAAGTGGGCGATCAAGGCTCTCTACAGCCTCCTGTCTTTTATTGCTTAAGTTTTCTTCTTTATGCTTCCTCTGACTTTTTCTGTCTTAGTCTCTGTTTATCTTTTCTCCCTCTCTGTATCTAAATGTATGTATGTTTCAAGAGGAGAGTGTATTCCTGTTCGTATATGTGAAGCTTCCCTGGAATGCCCACGTTAAAAAGGCCTTGTGCCACATGACACCCTCGTGGGGGGGGTGACTCAATATCGTGAAGCTTCCCTGCCGGTCAGCGATTGTGATATATATATATATATATATAGGTATAAGAGATATGTTTTTTAAGAGATGTTTGGTAATCCGTATGGATAATTCTATGAGGGATATAATCCAGAGAGCTCAGTGTAAAAACAGACCACATATGAAAATGTTGATTGAGGAATTAGAATCGAATTTCGATTCTAAGGAAATACTATAATCACCATGAACCTTTAAAGTTGTCTGTTTCTTAATATATATATATATATATATATATATATATATATATATATATATATATAGAGAGAGAGAGAGAGAGAGAGAGAGAGATAGATAGATAGATAGATAGATAGATAGATAGATAGAAATATTCTGTGTAAGTTTCACAATACGCCTAAATAAGTATGAGGATAATACAATATTAAAAACTGTCACGATTAAAATCTAACAAAGGAGAGTTTTAATTCATTTTTAAAGAAATAAGAGGAGACTTTATATTCCATCCCATCACCCCGGTAACAAACGGTACCGAACCTCAGTTCCATTACCGCTGCTCCAAGTAGGAGACCAAACTGGACAGTAAATATGTGAGTTTTTAAATGGAAGTGTCTTCTTTTTTACTGACAGAACTAGCTCGTGTCTGCCCCCCCCCTGGCCCATAAACACAAGATCAACACAAGACTTTTTGCACTATTAATAAAACCACCACCACCACCAAAAACAACAACAAATAACAATAATGAAGAAGAAGAAGAAGAAGAAGAAGAAGAAGAAATGTATACGACATCATCATTTAATCAACAAGAATACGAAGAAGACTTGGTGCCACTTGATCTCCAGTAAAAACAATTAGTTTCACAGCAGCTGTATGTATCTTGAGATCAAATGACAGGAAATATATTCAATACTCCAACAATCTTCTTAGTATCCCTGTTGAATGTTGTCGGCTGGCCGGACGGTTTCAATTCTATGTCGGATTTCCAATTATTATTATTATTATCATTATTATTATTAAAAATAAAGACAGGAAATGTTAAACACTATTGTAGTAATGATAAGATTTAACTAAAACTTACTATATTATTATTATTATTATTTATGTTGTTGTTATTATTATTATCACCGGCGCGGTAATACCAACATAGAAGCTTAATACACCTTATCTTCCATTTTCTCTGTATCACTTTCTCTCTTTCTTTCTGTTTTTCTTTTTCTACAACTATAGACAGCAGCAGCAGCAGCAGCAACATTCTACATCTTTACACTGATGCTGCTGCTACTGCTGTTGTTGATAGTGATGATGATGATTGTGATGGCGTTAGTGTAAGTGATGTAGGCGAGACGATGCGGACACCGTTCTGTCGCTGTCTCCGTTCTCTGTTGTTATTATTCATGATATGGCTGATAAACTTTCTTTTACTGCTGGAAAGTGTCGGATGTTCAAGCAGCATTTTGCCAGACTGTCAACTATATTGTAAGGACCATATAACGGTAAGTTTAAAATCAGAATCTTAGATAAAAACAGTTTTGACACTACGACTACCACAATAACTGCTACCTACAGTAGCTTTCCTAATACATATGTTGTGGCCTATACTGCAGTTATCTCTGTCTGTGAAACTATTACAGCTGTCTCCATCTCACGTGCAAAAAAATTATGTCAGTTTCGAATCCCAATCACAACCCCAACCTTAATCATAAAAGTCATTCCATGACTTTCGTGTACAATCCGAACTGTCAGAATCTTATTTGTATTATTGTAATATTTTTTCTTTATTTTATTCTTTAAGGATTGTCAACCATAATTAAATTATTTATTTTAAATAGTATTTATTTATTTCTTGATTTTTTTTACTTAGTTTTATCGCAACTTTACTGGGACCGTCAATCTACGGCAATAATATACAACGCCAATCGAAAATAAACGATAAGTACTTTGAGAAGTGATTAAAAAAAAAGCATGAAAAATTAAGATGAAAGTTAAACTAGTCAAAAATTAACAATAATGCTTATATTTTACTAAAACTTAATTTTTTTTTACCATTGTACAAGAACAATTTCTTTATGAAACCATTTTTATGTTGCGGAAATTTTTAATAACATGTAAACTGGATTGATTAAAAACTATATACCTACTTCTAGGAAATATAAACAAACATCTTATAATAAGTTTCCACCCCCATTACATACACACCCACACGCATCGTGAAGAGGCGAGCTCAAGTTTCGGATTTCCTGAAAATGATTCTTACTCGCCTCAGTACAGATTTTCAGAAAGATTCTGATACGTTACACCTGACATACCTGATGATCACCTGTCTATTTTGGCAGAGATGAACGCACGGATCCAAGAAACCAATAATCACGAGTCCATCCCTAACTGGTAACTCCCAAAATTGAATTATGTTAAAAGAGAGAATAAAAAACTGATAAAACTTGGTTATAAAATTCTCTTATTTTGTCGCCAATTTCCTTAATGTTTTGACATATTATAGACAATTTTAAAAGTTTGTTGACCGTATTTTTTCTTTGTTTACAAGACGAAAAGATGCTTGCTGTTTGCAGTAATGTTTGGTAATCAGAAAATAATGTATTAACGTTTTATTTACACAATGTGAAAGAAAGAACTAATATCGCTTTTTTTTTTGTCGATGCAAGGAACTTAGAAAATTCTTCCGTCCGGATTTCATGATTTAATTTTAATGAGATCTCTCCATGTTCAGGTTCCTTTATTTTATTTAATTCTTCTTGCACGCCAATATTTTTTATGGAATCCGGGCTTTTTCTCTTGAATTTCGCTTCCTTTGTCCATTTTCCAGAAATTAACACATGACAAGTTTGTTTTTTGTTTATTCTAGAAATTGAAATTGATATATATATATATATATATATATATATATATATATATATGAGGAAATATAGTCTTAAGATGTGCTATATTTATGGGATAAAGTGCTCAATACCAGAGATAGAGCGTGTAAATATAAAGTGAACACTGATTGCGTCTAGCATGAAACAGACTGTCGCCTATTTATAAATTCACTTTATATATATATATATATATATATATATATATATATATATATATATATATATATATATATATATATATATATATATATATATATATGTATATTATATATATATATAGACTCAGAAGGATATGTTCCAACAATGAAGAATTAAATAAACACATTGAAAATCTGGAGCATCAATTCACAACACGTGGCTATAAACAACACCTAATCAGGGAACAAATAAATAAAAGCAATTTCCACACCTAGAGAAGACACCCTAATATACAAGATTAAAATAAATCTAGCCGCATCCCTCTAGTAACCACTTTCAATCCCCTCTGCCTCCACTATCCCAAATAATCAAACGTCGCTGGGAAATACTACATCTCAAACCAGACCTAAAAACTGCTTAAGGAACCCAAGGCCTTCTGGCATATCGTAGACCTAAGAACCTAAAAGAAATCATAGGTAGTAAAACCACATTTCAGGGGACAAGGTAATCCGTAAGAAACTGAGAACAAAAACAACAGGATTTTCCCAACCATGTAACAACAAAAAGAAGTTTATGTTGCAAACCATATTAAAAAAACACGAATTCATTCATAGCTCAATCACTAAAGCTTTCAAAAATCTACCACGATTCTAACTGTAGAAGTCAAAACATAATCCTAGAATGCATATACCAGAAAAATATATATATATATATTATACACACACACTGTAGAACAACATATATTATATAATTGAGAGAATAGAAAAGTTCAGAGCAGATATTATATATATATATACAACGTCTAAAAACACAATACCCAGCCGGGCTAAATATTTATATAATATCAAATATCACCCACAAATGCTTAAGGGAGATGAAATGGATACCTCACCCACACGATTATATATATACACATATGAGCCAAATGATAACACACACCTACACACATACACATATCATTTAGAGACACATCCCCTCACCAGGTCAATAAAACTGTCAAACTGACCAGAGAATTCAGGATAAAATGTATCTTATCCATCAAATAACAAACTGTTTGACCAAACAGGAATGTTAAAGATTCATGTTAAAAAGATAAAAAAATAAAAAACAACAAAACTACAGACAAAAGTTTTTTTTCTCCAACAAAAGACATTCATTTCTGTAGTTCCTTGCTAACAGCAAGCAGAAATATTCATACTCCCGATGATGGCCATTTAGAAACTAGTCGAGGAATTTAAATGGAATAATAATAATAATATTAATCTAGTGTGTCTAATGATTTTAATTTTTTTAATTTTTATTTTTTAATTTTCTTATTGTTCAAAATATGTATATATATATATACACACATATATATATATATATATGTATATATATATATATATATATATATATATATATATGTATGTATTTATGTGTGTATATATATATATAAATATATACACACACATATATATATATATTTATAAATATGTACTTATGGGTGTATATATATACATATACATATAAGGTATATATATATATATATATATATATATATATATATATATATATATATATATATAATATATATATAACATATATGCATGTATGTATGTATATAGAAATATATATACACAACACACACACACACACACACATATAATATATATATACAAACTATCAAACTGATAACACTGTGTACTTGAGAATTATTAAGACGCTTGAAAGTACGTGGACAAAAACAGAGCAAAATATGAACATTAGGCAGTTTATCCACAATGTTGATCACAATGTTCAACATCTTATTTAAAAATTGGAAAAATTTAGTAAGAAATTCGATACAACGACATTGTTGGTTGAATTTAACAAAATTTCTTTCGATGAATTCTTGCTGCCTCCCCACTCATACACATACACATATATATGTATATATTCTATATTTGGACAGCAAATTTATTTTATACATGACTGTCGTGGAAAATCTTATAATTTATAACACAAACATAGATAGATATCATCAATGAAGCCCTTGAAAATGGCTAATGAAATTGGACGAAAGCGCTTGGGACGATAATCAGGACAACCATTTTCTACAGACTCTTAGTTCCTCAAAAAGGAAAAAACTGTTAGAACAATGGAAAAACAATAAAAAAAAATATTTTTTTCTTTGTCACATTCAATGAAAGGCAGACTCCCACACCCCCACATATATATGTGTGTGTGTGTGTGTGTAGAATATTTAGGATGTTAAAGTGTGTGATAGTGTAAGAGTGTGTATATCACCATTTTTCTACGGATCCATTATTCGTGAATCTATCTATCTATCTATCTATCTATCTATCTATCTATCTATCTTATCTAATCGATGTTTTGTCTTTCCTCACTATTTCTTCTTGTACAGTTGTTATTTTCATTTCTTTGAAAAGTCTTCTGGACCGTATCGAATTCCTTCACATCAAATCTGTTCTCGTTCGCTTGGACACAAAGTTAAAAAATAAAGTCGATTGCTGTTGTTAAGTAAGGAATGCACAGCTATGAATATTTCGTTCTTCTGTCTTTCGATTTTGTTCAGTGCTATTTATTGCCCACATGTGATTCTCAACCAAACAGATTCACTCATTTTACCAGTACCATTTTTCTTTTATGGGTAACTAGTCATCGTCTTTTATTCAAAAACGCAACATTTTGTTCTTTGTATACGTTGCCGACATTTCACCTGTCAACATAGCATATCCATTCTTTTAAAAAAAGAAGTTTTGTCTATTGTTTAGAATTTTGCATACTCCGCGCTGTCGAAAATGATGTTTACCACCCCAACTCCCATACCCCCATAAATAACAATTAAAGACTATAATAATAATCTGTATTAGAATTTCATATACAAAGAATATTAGCACTCTATTTTAATTTTTAACTGTGAAGTCTGAAGTTAAGCGGCTTAGTTTTCTATAGTCTAAATTGTTTATGATAATCTATCCGTACAAGAGTTATTGCTCTCTCTCTCTCTCTCTCTCTCTCTCTCTCTCTCTCTCTTTCTCGCTTTCTCCCTCCCCTTTGGTATGTATGTGGTGTGGGGGTTGGATAGAGAGAACAAAGATGTGTCGAACAAGAGAGAAAGAGAAAGATGAAGCAAGGAAGAAAAAGAGAAAGAGAGAGAGAGATAGAGAATAGGAAGTGTTCATACAAAAGAAAACTCTGGGTGTTGGGTGTAAAACACAGACTGGTAAATGCAGTGTGATCGGGTTCGTCTGCTGTGCCGAATCTATGGCTATGGGTGACAGGGGAAGGAGACGAAAAATGCAGAAAAAAAAAAAAAAAAAAAAAACGATATTCAATGACCATGAATCCTATTCTTTCAAACTTAACGTCAGTTGTTGTCATGTCTGGCTGCGAAATACCAAAGTTGACAACTTTACCGCTTCTCTTCTTTTCGAATTCCCCTCCTCCTTCGCCCCCCACCCCTCACACGTCCTGAAAGTTGGCTTCATGCAGTCTCTCTGAGATATACGCAAGCCGTACCTTGCAATTCCTCTTCTTTCTTCGAGTTGTAACAAAACGAATATTAAAAAAAAAAAACAAAACAAATAATAATAATAATATAGAAACGAAATCAAAAGAAGAACATGTATAGCGACAGGGACATAACGACGCAAAAGTAACCAAAAAAGTATTTTTAAAAAAATCGCTCTTACTAACAGAAAGAAAAAAACAATGCTATTATAAAAAATAAAAAAATAGTCAGGCTGGATAGGAAACTGGAAAATGGCAAATGCACCCTATAGAAATAAAGATAAGACAATGAACCAGATCATAAACGAATGTAGTAAGTTAGTTCAAAACGAATACAACGAATAGGTATAGTTGAATGTGGAAGTTGGTCCAATGGGAACTGTGCAAGCGACTCGTCGTAGGATAATGGTTAGCCAGAATCTCTCCTAGAGAATCAAACATAATATCCTTTGGGATTTTATCGTTCAAACGGATCGCCCACGCCAAGACAGAAAACTGGATCTGGTATTTATAAAGAACAAGGAATGAAAGTATTTGGTAGTGGAAGATTACAGAAGAATTCTAAAAGAAAATTGAAAGGTTAGATAAATATTTCAACCTTGCCATATTGTAGAACCTGAAGTTGACAGTCGTATCAGTTATTATGGAAGCGCTGGAAACGGCCCCGAAGAGATTAGGAAAAGGATACGAGTAACTAAAGCTCAGGGAAGAGAATTGGGTTCATACAAATGACATGTTAAAAAATGTGCTAGAATACTGGGGAGAGTCCTGGAGTACTGGGGAGACATATTGTCACTTGGGCCCCAGCCATGGGAACTGGTGTGAAAATTTAGGAGATTTGTGAAGGCTTGTTGTCGCCCAGTCTATACCGTTAATCACTGGATCTCTGGTGTGGACATACAGATGCATGAAGCAACAATTAGTATTAACATCTGAGTGATACAGCTTTTGCTGCCCGAGTAGCATCACGATGCATACTGCGCGCGTCCTCACATCCATCTGTGTCATATATAATTCCAAAGAAATTCAAAGGGTCAGATGTTCAGAGTATGTGACTGATGATTCTGTTGCTAAGGATTTGACATTAAACACTGACCGACAAACCCAACTTGTAATGTTTTCTCAATTTTTTTCCTTTTCTTTTTTTTTTCTTTTCTTTTTTCCCTATTCCTCAATAACTCGTTTAACACTTGTTCTAAAGAGAAACTTTTTTCCTTAGTAGTCAGTTGTATGAGGAACAATTTCTACGCATAAAGGCTTTGTTATAGACACATAATAACATTATTGTACTGCGCGTTTGAAACGGATCCAAAATTTGTTACCAGTCTAAAAATACCAACTTCATCATGATTTATATCGTTGAAAAGTATTGAAAGTGTACATTGCAATAGTTGTTGCTAGTCTAACATTACAAACATCATCACGATTTATATCATTAAAAAGTATTGTAAGTGTATATTGCAATATTTGTTGCCAGCATTATCATAATTTATATGATTAAGAAGTATTGAAAGTGCATATTGCAATACCGTTGCTAGTCTAACATTACTAACTTAATCATGATTTATATCGTTAAAAAGTATTGTAAGTGTACATTGCAATATTTGTTACCAGCATCAACATAATTTATATCGTTAAAAAGTATTGAAAGTGTACATTGTAATAGTGTCACAAACTCATATCCATACAACTGAATATATATATATATATATATATATATATATATATATATATATATTCAGTTGTATGGATATGAGTTTGAGACGGACCGACGATTGCGTCTAGCATGAAACAGCCTGTCGCCTCTGAGTGTTGACTTCAGTGTTCACTTTTATATTTATATTTACATACGTTCTATCTCTGATATTGAGCACCTTATCCCGTAAATATAGCACACCTTAAAACTATATTTCTTTATATATATGTGTGTGTGTGTGTGTGTGTGTGTGTGTGTGTGTGTGTGTGTGTGTGTGTGTGTGTGTGTGTGTGTGTGTGTGCATTTATACACAATTACGGAAAATAAAATTTCAGCATCCTGAATAAGTGTTTCAATTTACTCATGTTAAACGTCCAGATAACCTTGCTGGGTGACAATGAATGCTCATATGTACAGATCAATATATGCACAAATTGCAATAAAAGGGTTCTATCAATAACACCCAGCCGTCATATTATTACACTCTATATCCTGTTTAGACGTTATAGCACACATATTATCGTACATGCGGTGGATGCCATCATGTAATACATTGTTTCACATCACATGAACCTTTTAACGCAGTTGTAGGTTGGTCAACTGAAGGAGTCTCATCATATTACCTACATGTTCAGCTGGGGGCAAGTTTTGCAATCGAGACGAACAGGGATGTTGACAAACATCTTGGAGAGCATGTTGAGTCGTATGCAGGCAGGTATTATTCTACTGGAACAACAGATCGCCTTCCTTTAGCTGGAAGGGTTCGAACAATGTTCTGGACCTACATAGCGCTGTCTAGTGTTCCCTGCATCAAGGGCAAGCGAGAGTTGTTACTTATGGCATCCTACACCATGATGCCAGGGATTAGACATCTCTTTGTCGTGTTGCGAATACCTTCTCAAAGATTTCACTCTCTACGTCTATGCCGTGTACGCAAACGACCATTATTTACATGTAGAAGCTTCTTTCATCTCTGAACTCTAAAGTACACCATCCGAATCCCTGGGTGACACTTTCGGTACAGCACTGTTTATGACAGTGTCGTGGTGTAGGTGGAAGACTGCTTAGAGGAATGCTTGCCTGTAGTCTAGCATGTAAACGAGATCTTGGCATCCCTGAGGTAACATTTCCTCTGATCTGTGCTGTGAAAGCAATGCTTTCTTCAATGTTGACCTTCAAATACTTCGATCTTAGTGTTACTGTTAAAATGATTATGATGAATGTTGTTAGGTAATGAAAACTACGATGAGGATATATAACGATTGTCCGCTGAGTTGAAGAGATTAATATAATATTCAAGTAATTACCAACTAAAGTAGCAGTTCTTTGGATGAAGCTGCTTGAGTGGAACATTTGGAAATATCAATAGGCGTGTGAAGAGACTGTGTAGAAAATAAGCAAAGACTCTATCAAAACTGAAAAGTGAGGATTATGCAGCTTCAGCTCTTTACTTCAAGGCGTCCAGAACCTGGTCTATAGGTGCAGGAATTTTCATTTGACCGTTGTTGACAACATTGAATTGGCATGTATAACAATAGGCACCCGGTTTTAAACCAAACCGCTCTCAAATTGCTCTAAATGAACAAAAGGACTACCTGCGTATTACGCAAACTGAACTTTCACCACATTGAACATCGTTGCAGCATCCGTCATCAGCTCAGAAATAGACTCTGTACTAGCATGAATGTTACTATATGATAAGATGGTAGAAGACTGGAACATTTTATTAGAATATCTTCTCTAAATTGATTAAAAATGAATGATCAAGCAATCAAATTTTGTAAAAATTAATGTCACTGACTGAAATGCATTTCTTGACACTGTTTATGTTGTTCTTCTATGGACATGTACTGTACACAGGTCAAAATCAGCACCGTCAGTCAGGGTGGTTTAACTTTATCTGCTGTTCGTCCGTATGTATGATTGAGATAGATAGATAGATAGATAGATAGATAGATAGATAGATAGATAGATAGATAGATAGATAGATTTGTTGTTAATGATTGATTTAATCTGTGTTCGCGGATATAATTTGTATCTAAAAGTAAGATTAAAAGATAAATATTATTTGAGGAGTGTAATGCATGAGCTCACGTAAAATTTGTGTAGCGGGTGTGCTAAAAGGCAGGTATGTGTGTGTGGGGAAGGAGGGCTTGCACGGGAGAGAGAGAAAGAGAGGGAATGCGTGTAAATATTATTCTTGAATTAGGTGTATGCAAAAACATTGTAATATGAAGCGTGTAATAATCGCGACCATGTGAAGATGATATTATCAATGATTCTCACTAAAGATTTAATAGGCTGGGACTGTAATATTGTCTATATCAATCAAACCAATGCCATTGAATGTCTACGCCATCAACGCTTCCTTCGAAAAAAAAAGTAACTATCAGGATTACACATACTTAAAAAAAATTATTTAAAAGCGAAATGAGAAAAGTTAACGAATATTGATGATTCAGACACAAAGTAAACACCCAAAAGAATTGAACGGTGCCACTTTAGCGTGTGTCCTACCGATCAGTTTCTGCTTTAGTGTGTGTCCTACCGATCAGTTTCTGCTTTAGCGTGTGTCCTACCGATCGATTTCTGCTTTAGTGTGTGTCCTACCGATCAGTTTCTGCTTTAGTGTGTGTCCTACCGATCAGTTTCTGCTTTAGCGTGTGTCCTACCGATCGGTTTCTGCTTTAGTGTGTGTCCTACCGATCAGTTTCTGCTTTAGCGTGTGTCCTACCGATCGATTTCTGCTTTAGTGTGCGTCCTACCGATCAGTTTCTGCTTTAGCGTGTGTCCTACCGATCAGTTTCTGCTTTAGCGTGTGTCCTACCGATCAGTTTCTGCTTTAGCGTGTGTCCTATCGATCGGTTTCTGCTTTAGCGTGTGTCCTACCGATCGGTTTCTGCTTTAGCGTGTGTCCTACCGATCGGTTTCTGCTTTAGCGTGTGTCCTACCGATCAGTTTCTGCTTTAGCGTGTGTCCTACCGATCGGTTTCTGCTTTAGCGTGTGTCCTACCGATCGGTTTCTGCTTTAGTGTGTGTCCTACCAATCAGTTTCTGCTTTAGCGTGTGTCCTACCGATCAGTTTCTACTTTAGCCGATCAGTTTCCTTTACCGATCAGTTTCTGCTTTAGCGTGAGTCCTACCGATCAGTTTCTGCTTTAGCGTGTGTCCTACCGATCAGTTTCTGCTTTAGCGTGTGTCCTACCGATCAGTTTCTGCTTTAGCGTGTGTCCTACCACCCTATTTGTATTCTACATTATTAAGACATTGTCCCGAAATTTTTTCTTCGATAAGT